TGTTCTTTGATGTCAAACTTTTTTAGCGTTCGGAAGCGCCAGCTACAATGACGATAAAGTTGATTTTCAAACATGTGCACATTCTTTCTTTCCATTCTTGCTGAAATTAAACATTTTTTCTTTTCTTCAGTGCAGAAAAGAACTGCGTATAAATAGTTTTGTGACAGCAAAAAGCAATTTCAGTCACTTGTTGGAAGAAAATGTGTTCGAGTGATTTTTATCTTTTGACAATTTTCTTTCCACTGTCTATTATAAAATTTTTCTTGCCGTGTTTTTTGCTACAGCATTTTACAGTCATCAAAACAATAAAAAATTTATTCCGATACTTTTAAAAATATATCTAAATTTTAAGTTAATCTTTTCTCAACGATCTGTGATCTAAAGAAAAATTATTTCGAACACATAATCAAACATATATAAGTCTTTATTTTCAATTTTAGAAATTATGTCTTACTCATACCATACTACCTATTTACCTAGTACAAGCAGTACGCCACTGTATGAAATATACAGACTATTTAGTAACAAGGAAAACAATATGAAAGATGAATTACAACATTTTCATGACGAGCTGCTCATTTGGAAACACAATACCATTATAGAAATCACTCGACACGTTGATATAGAAGTAAGAAAATTAAATGAACTACGCAATGACATTGTAAAAGATATTATTAAAAAGAGAGATGAGTATGCAACAACGATCGGTTATTATATCAATAAAAATCCTGACGAGGTGGATAAGATCTTTAGTCAATGTGAAAAATTAAAGTTTGAATTAGAGAAAATACGATATAAAACGACTGAACTTAATTGGCCTTGCGTACCAGAAAAATGCACCGTAAAATCTACAGACACGGATAATCAAAATGGAACATTTATTGGCAAATTGGATAGTGACACAGCATCAACAACAGATAAACGTCAAACTGCTGTGAAACTTCCTACTACACCTACAGATATTTCAAGAGACAAAAATCGATCACCTAGCTCAAGGAAGTAAGTAGTGCTTTTTCGTCTCTATTCGTAAACTATTGAAATGTGTATTTTCCATATAGAGTAGTGTGGGGGAAAGAGAGACACCTTTTCAATTTTTTGTGTGTCAATTCAAGTGTCTCTTTTTTCCCCACTCCGGGTAAAATGAGACACTTCACTAGTCTGCTTGGAGTAAAAAGAGACACTCCATTCAAATACATGGAATTTTAATTAATAATTGACTGTGAGGTAAGCTTTAGAGATAATTACTTAGGGCATACCAAAAGTTCGTAGAGTGATACCTTAATACCTTATGATAAGCTTTAAGTAACTTTCTTTCTATATAGTTTGATAGAGAAAAGAATGCTCTATTTTTCTATGCTATTTGATCAT